TGTCCCGCCTAGGGAGCGGCTCCCGTCATTCGAATCACTCACCCAGCACCTGCCACCTGTGCTGGCCCCACAACCCAGCGGCTGGGCCCACAGCGGTGGGGCAGAGTGGAACATTCTGCCACAACGCCAAACCCCAGCTCCTTCGGCCTTTAGGAAGGGAACGGGCCGAGGCGCTGGTGCGCACAGTGGGCACCAGGGCTGGAGCTGCGCCTGGTCTGCCCACGGCGTGGACTAGTGACCCAATTAGGCCTTTGCCACGTCTAGACGCTGTGATCACACAGAGGGGCCGTCTCGGGAAGGCAGGGCCGGCTGGCGGGGGCTTGGTGATGCAAGTCATTCCAAATGCCACGAGCAGCAGCCACCTGGAAACGGCCGGGAAGCCCAGTCGCAAGCCACAGGCGGGAGAAATCAGTTGCCTAGCAGGTGGGAGAGCCCCACGGAGGGGGGGGGAGAGGGGGAGAAGAGTTCTTAGCAGAATCTCACCCCCCAGGCTGGCCTCCTCCACTGCTGCACCTGGGAAGTGCCAAAAAGGTAAGAGCCTGCTAGAGAGGAAAAGTCTCTTCTAGCTCTGCCGTGGGGGGCGGGGGGGAGGCGCATTGCTTGGTGAGCAACAACCTCACTCCTGGGCCAAAGCCGAACGTGTTTAGGGGTCCTTCAGCTCCGGCCGCTCTTGCCCAGCCCTTGGGCTGCTCAGCGCTAGCCAAAGCTGTCCAGGCATTTGCTGGAAAGAGCATCAGAATAAATCCAGGTGGCTTGGCTCAGATGCTCCCTCACCGAACCCAGGACCGTGCCCGACAGCAAGTGCCGGATCTGCCTTCAAGGTTACTGCGCAGCTGGGCGAGGGCTGCGCCAGCCCAGCGCGGCAGGGAGAGACACAGCGAAGCGGGACGGGGCCGGGTAGTTAGAACACCCGGGCCCCTGCACAAACCAGCCCTCAGGGCTGGGGCACCGTGGCGCTCCTAAAACCGCCCTGCTGTTCCCCCAGCTGTGTTAGCCGGGCAAGTGCAGCATGGGAGGCATTTCACACACCAGGGAGGGTGCAGCGCTGGGAGAGCTGCGACCATCCAGGGTAGCAGCTGGGACGTGCACACGGGGACCCCCTATCGCAGACTTTGTTTTGCACGGGGACCTGGCTGGCTGCATTTACGCGGCCCGGCGATGCTCCAAGGACCGGACTGGCTACTCCTAGCTGCTCTAGGCTAGCCAGAGCCCAGGTCTGCATGCCCAACTGGCAAGCGGTTATAATGCCTGTGTTGCGCCAAAGGGAATTTCTCCTGCCTCTGCCTGTCTGAGAAAAGGGGAGGAAGAGAGTGGAGCGGTCTCAAAATGCTCTGGGCAGATAGGCAACCCCTGTTCCGTAACACCGCTGGCTGTGGGCCGGAGCCCTTCTCTCCAAATCGGGTACAAGACACACAGATGGGTGGCCTTGGCACGTAGTGGGAGGAAAGGTGGCTGGCAGGAAAACGACGTGTGGGCTCAGGGAACTCCCGCCAGCACCAAAGTATTAAAAGGCGCTTCTGTTTTGAAAGTCGAAACACCCGTTCCAGCGCGGGCCCCGGGGGCAGGGCTCAGTTGTTCCACAGGAAACGTTCTCAGCTGGCAAGGTCAATGGGGTTCTCTCTCCCTGCCACCTGTGTAGCCTCAGCCCCGGCCGGGGGCAGCCTGAAGAATTCTTGCGGCCTCTCCTGTCGGTGCCACTGGACTGCAATTGCGCTAACCCCAGGCTCCCATACTCACCCCCGTGCTGACGGGAGGTTAAAACTGCCCCACGGTGCCTAACCGCAGGGCTGGAGCCGTGTGCAGCAAGGCCGCTAGGCACAGCCCTCAGGTGAGCCCCTCCCGCGGCACTAGCAGCACAGAAGAGCTGCCCGATTCCGGGGGAGGTGTTAGAAAAGCTCTTGCAAAGCTGGGCCTGCACATCTCCAGCCCTTCGGGCAGCTGCTCCCAGGGGCCTGCTCGCGGCTCTGCCTTCCACACTAGGCGGGGGGTCCCTGCTGCACAGTGGAAACGCACGCATGGTTCTCGGCCCCCCTTCCACATCCTATGGTCACGCCGCATGGCCCCTTGGGAGAGTTGGTACCAGGGAAGCGGCTCTGGGGGTAAGTGCTCCCCCAGCAGCTCCATTAGCTCGCCCCAAATGCGGCCCGGCTCAGCAGCTGTTTACTGTGGCAGAAACGGGAGACCTGCGTCCCACAAGTCTGCTCCAGTGCAAGGGACACGTCATCAGTGCCCCCTGTGAGCTGTGCCCTTGTGCGGCCGCTGAGGAGGAATTCCAGTGCCGCCCAGCTGATAGAGGGCTCACAGCTAGATTTGTCTTTCTCCGAGTGGTGCACATTCACACATGCCTCGGTGCACACAACAAAATGCATTCCACACATGGGTGGAAAAATTCGAGAGGACCTTGCCTGTTAGTCACCGGGGCAGTAACAGTGACCACAGGACCATGCTACGTGGGGCTGACTACACACTGGAAGGGCCTCGCAGAGCCAAGACTAGGGACTCCATGATCAAGGGATGGTGGTGAGGGATGCTGCAAACCCACCCTGCCCTGGGATGGGTGGAAGTTTATTTATTGCTGGTGTAGGCTGCAGCTTGTGTTATAT